GGTTCAAACTCACCAGCCACTTCCAGGAAAACCTATACAGGGTTGCTCTAGGTGGGAACCGACTCCATGGCACTTAACAACGTCCTTTTTTAACATGTAGTGGGTTATGTACTTAGGCTACTAACCGTAAAAGTCAGCAGTTTGAATCCATCAGCAGCTCCACATAAGATAAGGCTTTCTGCTCTGGCAAAGGTTTACAGCCTCAGAAACTCTATACAGAGTAGCTATGAGTTGGAAACGACTGGACATCACTTAACAATAACAATGTAGTCAATCACTTTCAGTGCCAGATTTTCTATTTTTCAGATATTCAAGATGAATATCCACCAAGTGGGCAGTTATCAACATAGCTGATCTCCATTGCTTATGGGTTAATTAGTAAAGGAATAGACCAAAGATATGTTTTAAATAGGATTCAGAAAGTCTAACACCTGAAATCTAAACTCGTTAAACTGTTTGAACTGTTATTATCATAAGCAAGTACTTTATGTATAATACTTTATACATAGTACTTGATATATATAATGGACTCAATTAGTATAGGAAGAAAAGATAAAGATTGCCAGTGGAAGAGTTTAGAAGGATATTTCCAAGAAACAATCATTTTCTGATATAAATACAATGAGCATATATGAGAGTCTCCCAGGATCAGTTTTCCAGACACAAGCTACCTAATTTAAAGCTGTTTTATGTACTCACTCACATACTGAGCAGCTACTATAACGAAATTACCCATGACCTCAAGACCAGCTCTGGTAGCGTAGTGGTTTTATGAATCCGGCTGCTTATCCTCAGGGTCATCAGTTCGAAACGATCAACTGTTTCGCTGGAGAAAGTTGAGGCTTTTGGCCTCGGAAACCCTGTACAGGGTCCCTATGAGTCGGAACCGACTCCATGGCACATAAAAACAACAAAGACCAGTGAGATCTACAGACTCAGCATTGAAGAAGTTTACAACTTGACATGAATCAAACCTAGTGAAATGAGTCCGTATTCTCACCGCCACTGGTTTACTTCAGAACGGATTACTTACTTCCACATATGAAATTCAATTTCTTCCAATACTGCACTCTTACTAGACGCCTGGATCTTACCAGGAGACACACCATTTCCTCTTCACACTTAACAGATTTATTCCCACTAAGATACTCAGGCACTTTGTAAGATCCTTTTTAAAAGGACAAGGTCTTTTGGCCTATGTAGTGCTTCTATCTGGCAGGGCCTCCTGCCAGAGAAGGCCAGATTTTCCTAGAGATTAGGAGTCCAACTAACTCTTATAAACAAATATCCGTTTATAAGAAAAGGCTGTTGGCAATTACCGGTAGGTGCTAGACTAATGAAAGGTTTGTGGGCAGGTCACTATCTCGGGTCACTCCACATAACGTTATTCGTCCTAAGAGCAGTAGGCGTGGGGGAAGGACTGTACCCCATTCCCTTATCCTGACCTGTTAAATCAGCCTGGGTAGGAAACTACCAGCAACACAGCAGTGGATTCGTGAGGTCACCATACAGCTGGGCCAAATGACCGCTCGGCGGCTCTACGGTGTCAGGGACAGAGAGGGAGAAACCACCACACCCCTCATTCCATCACGGTCCGCCCAAGGACCAGGAAGCCAGGCCCTGTGGCTCGAAGTACAGCCGGTCCCTGAGCGCACACTGATGTCACGGACGTGAGGGCTCAACCGGTTCACTCTGTCCAACGTTGCAGACCCTCATGTAGCCTCTTCCCTTTTGGGGTGCCCGTCCGCCCCAAAGAGTGCGAACTCACGGTAGTCACGGCGCCAGTGAAAATGTCCTCTCCCTCAGTGTCGCTGTCCCCAACCTCGGGTTCTGACCCTCCAGCCGCCCCCTCGGACTCCGGCTCCGGGTAAGGAAAGGGAGGAGGTAGTCTCTCCGAAGCGCTACAGCCACCACCACCACCAGACGCCATCTTCCTGCACCCGCGGCGGAAGCCGCAACAACAACTTTATAGAGACACCGCCGCGAGCAAAGCGTTCCAGTGAAGGGAGAAGTGGGAGCGCCACAACAGACCCCACGGGATCCGTGCGGCCGGCCGTAGGCGTGGAGGCGGAGTCGGGGCGGGGTCAAGGTCGATGGTTCATGTTCAGCAAATCCAAGCTCTGGACCAGAACGCTGAGATCCTATTAAAAGGGACCCAAGAGTCCTGGTGTGGCACTGTGGGTTAATGCGCTAGACTGTAAAGCCGTTTGAACTGCGAGGTTGGCGTTTCAAGCTCACCAGATGCTCCTGGAAACCCTATACAGGGTTGCTATGAGTCGGAACCGACTCGACGACACTTAACAACACAACAAGAGCGCAGAAAAGGGGAAGCCAAGAGCTGCTTAGATTCCTATGGCCCTTGGTGCCTTGGATAGGTTTAGCTTCCTGGGAGATTTCGTTTGAATAAAGGAATCTGGATAAAAAAAGTTTGAAAACCTTTACAGGCCACCTATTGAGCACAGTGCCCTCAGAGATTCAATAAATATTTCTAATTGAAAGTCTCGCCATTTATTCTTACAATATTCAAAGATGAACTCAAGAAATGTATGTTGTCTACTGTGCCTAGCACTCTGCTATGCAACTGAGATACAGAAATAGTCTTTGCCCAATAAGCGTTTACAATGTAATGAGGCAGGTAGGCATGCAAATACTTGTAAACAATTCAACATGTTCAGAGTTTTGATGTGCTTTGGGAGCATAGTGAAAGAGATCATCAATTCTATATGGAGTAGTCTGGAAGTTTCACAGAAGAGGTGAGATCTAAGTGTCCTAAATTGGATTGAAAGGAAGTTATATTTATCCTCTCAATTGCTATGGAGGAATTAGAGTGGTATTAAACTCTGAACACAAATTTCCTGGGACCAAAACTCTTCACTCGGGAGTTTTGTGTTACTGCAAGTATTTGCAACCTCGGAAACTCTGTGGAATACTTCTGCAGGATAATCCAGACTTTCTTCTCAATAGAGATATGAAACTTGCGATCAACTTTTACAAAATAGTTTACTTTGCTTCCAACTGAAATTCCTAAGCTTCGGGGGTTGGTTCCCTCAAAGGTCTGTGAGTCTTTTGAGGGCAGAGGCCATGTCTTATTCGCTTTTGTATTTGTTGTTTTTGTCAGATTGGTGGTGGTGGTGGTTGTGTGCCTCGGGTCGGTTCCGACTCATAGTGACCCTGTGAAGGGGTTCCGAGGCTGTAAATTTTTACAGGAGCTCAAAGCTTCCTACGGAGCATCTGATAGATTCGAACTGCTGACCTTGCGGTAAGCAGCCTCACTCTTAACCAAGTATGCTACCAGGGTTCCTTCAAGTTAAGTACCTAATAAAGGTTTGAGGATTGGAAAGAGGGATGGACGGATAAAACGTCTTAACATCATCATCCTGGTTACTGTCATCCCTCATGGCATGAATACCAAAAGGATTAAAACATTATTTCTAGGATGATGACCTCCAATGTGTCATTATCTCTTTTAGAGAAAGTTCTCTCGTTCTAAATTGCCTTTGAAGGCGCTTGGAAAAAATATTCAACCCGCAGTTGTGCTGTACCTAGATTCCATAAGACAAGAACCTAAAAGTTCTCCCTATCAAAGGCTAACCGTCCTCACTAGGCTCCAAAGACTTCCCGTTTCAAAGCAACGGAAACTCACTTCCGGCACAAAAAGGAAGTAAGAATGGTAGTGGCTAGAAGCGATTCCTTCGGGAAAGTAACAGTCTTTGTGCATATGCTTCTGCAGCACTAGAAACTAACGTCTTGTTTTCTCCTACCTCTTCAGGATTCATCTTTAGCTTATCTCGAGCATAATCAGTGGCGGGTAATACAGACCGTTACACACCACCTCGTCCCGGCGGAAACTACAAGTCCCAGAATACAGCTCTTGCTTTTCGGGGTGGGGGTTGGGGGGAGACCCATAGGTTCCAGCACGCAATGCGCTTCACGGGCCGCAAGGATTTTGGTTCCTTGTCCCACCGAAACTGAGCAATGCATGCTGGGGCTTGTAGTTCTTACTGCTCCTTTCCTTAGGACCTCTGCGCTACACCTTCCGGTCCCGCCTATTTTATGCTACCCTGAACAGTTTAAGTTTCTCTTGGCCCATTTGAAAACCAGGAAGTTTTTAAGTTCTGAGACCAGCTGTTGAAAGACGGTGGCTCACTTGGGACAGTCGCCAGGGATGGCGGATCCTGAGAATGGAGCGGTTGTCCGGGCTGCTCTCTTGGACGCTGAGCAGAATCTTGTGGCTCTCGGGTCCCTCTGAACAGAGAGCTGCTCGGCAGCCCCGGATCATGGAAGAGAAAGCGCTAGAGGTTTATGGTAATTTTACCCAGGGCAGCATTTTGCATTACACGTGAAGGTGGGGGTTGGGGGTGTGACAGTAGAGGGCCTTGCCTGAGGACGTGGAGTGGAAGCCCAGGTTTTAGCAGGATTTCGTTAGGTGATTGAGAAGCGTTTTATCTGGAGTCCTAAGTCAAGCAAGGATGTGGGAGACTTGGGCTTTGTGTAAATGTGGGACATGCTGAGCCTAGAGTCTTAAACTCGTCATTCGCCTTATATCCCCAGACTCCTGGGCAGAACTGCAGGTTAAGGTGCTTGATTAGAAGCAAATATACGCCTCACTGCCTGAATGTACTTCTTGAACCATTTTGCTTATCTCAGTCCTTGGGCACTCTCATTCCTTCTCCCACCATCCCGAGGGCACTGGTAGGTTGTCAGGTTGGACCGGTTCAAGGTCACAGTCACACTTCTGCTGCAGTCAATAGGCAGAGATCCCTGAGAGAAGAGGACCAGATAGAGTACACTTAGTAGGGCCTCAAGCAAATAGTTCCTTCAACACAGCACTGAAACCTGGAGTGCAAAATATTTATTTTTGGGGGTGGTAGATACATATATAAAGGGGATTAAAACTTCATGGGAAAATGGAATTTTCCCATGAACTTTGAACCCCCTTTACTACGTATTAAACATTCTATTTAACCCTTGTGCAGATGTGGAAACTAAGGCTTAGAGTGTGGAAATAACTAGCTAGAGGTCTCACTACCAGTAAAGAGCCAAAATGTAAAGCCCATGTTTTGATTCTAAACTTGATGCACTTTACACCACTTCTCAGTTGCCTCATGACTCCTTTTTGAGAATTGTGTAGTGCTTTTGAAAACTACAAAGATTAGATCTAATGTTCAGAGGTTCCTGCTGCCTGCAGGTAAAAGATCTAATCATAAAATTCCAAACCAACCCACCTGCTGTCCAGTATATTCCTGCTCCTGGCCTTGTGCTGCAAAGTAGAACTGAGCTCCCTAGGGTTTTCAAGGTTGTGACCTTTTGTATTCATGGTGACTCCATGCTTTGCTTAGTATAACTCCTTGTGCTCCATAGGGTTAAGTTCATGACCTTTTAGAAGCAGATCTTAAGGATTTTCTTCTGAGATGCCTGTGGGTGGGTTCTAACTGATAACCTTTTAGATAATAGTCCAGTGCTTAACTGTTGTGCCACCTGAGGAATTCTTAAGTAACCCGAGCCAGGTAACTTTATTATAAGTGAAATGAAGTCCATAAGGCATTTGGACACATTCCTGTCCTGCCATGCCTCTGTCTACAGCAGAGCACCGAGATGCAACTTTGGAAGAGTTGTTTCTTTGCCTTTAAACTTTACTGAGGAAAACCAAAATAAGTGGAAATATCTTTAGTGTGTAGAGAAGGCTGTAGACCCCATAAGAGACATAGAAATTCAAGAGGAAGGAGAGATACTAATCCCTGATAAGGAAGAAGGGATCTGGAAGGGTTTTAAGAAGAGCCACTTGAATTGGGTCTTGAAGAGTAAGTTGGATCTTGATATGTTAGAAAGGACCCCTGGTGATGCAGTGGATAAGAGGATGGTTGCAAACCAAAAGGCCAGTTTGAACCCAGCAGCCATTCTGAGGGAGAAAGATGACAGCCTTGTAACTCTATGGGGCAATTCTAGATATTCATATATATATGAGGGGGATTCAGACTTTGTGGAAAAATTCCATTATCTTTTAGGTCAGTTTTTCCACAAATTTTTTGAAGCCCTCTCGTCTGTGTATTAAATATTTATTTAACCCTATACAGGAGCTCTGGTAGCGTAGTGGTTATGAATCGGGCTGTGAACCGCAAGGTCAGCAGTTCAAAACTACCAGCTGTTCCGCAGGAGAAAGATGAGACTTTCCGCTCTCGTAAAGATTTACAGCCTCGGAAACCCTGTACAGGGTAGCTATGAGTCGGGACCGACTCCACGGCACACAACAACAACAACAACAACATATACAGATGTGGAAAGTAAGGCTTAGAATGCTTAAACCTTACTCTGTTCTATAGGAATTGATGGCAATGGGTTTGGTTAGGTAGAGGGTCAGGACATACTACTAGGCCAAGGAAGCTGGGGCTAAAGTATGGAGATGAGAAAATAACATGTTAAGGAATGACAGAAGATGATTTTTTTAGGGGAGTAATGTGAGAATCACATCTTTTTCTAAAGAAATCCAAACCTCTCAAATCACTAAAAAAAACCCTAAAAATGAGGTTTAATAATGGGTAAGGTTTAAAGTCAGGATTAAGTACTATATATGGAGTCCTGGTGTGCACTGGGGGTAATGCACCAGACTTCAAAGTTCTTTGGACTGCAAAGTTGGTGGTTCAAGCTCACCAGCTGCTCCTCAGAAACCCTATACAGGGTTGCTATGGGTCAGAATCGATTCAACGGCACTTAACAACAACAACATAAAATATAATACAGCTTGTATAGGTGAGTTTGAGGACTAAGGTGCACCTGACCCAAGCCATGATATTTCTAATAGTCTCATATGCATGTGAAAGTTAAACAGTGAATAAAGAAGACTATAGAAGAATTGATGGATTTGAGTTAGGGTGTTGGAGAAGAATATTAACAGTACCATCAACTGCCAGAAGAAAAACAAATCTGTGTTGGACGAGGTTCTGCCTGAGTGCTCCCTCCCTGGAAGCTAGAATGACAAGACTTGATCTCTCATACTTCAGACATATTATCATTAGGGACCAGTCCCTGGAGATGGATATCATACTTGGTAAAGTGGAGGGTCAGAGAAAAAGAGGAAGACCCCAACAAGATGGATTGGCACAGTGACAGCAGCAATAGGCTCAAGTTTAATGATGATTGTGAGGATGACATAGAACAGGGAAGTGTTTCGTTCTGTTGTACATAAAGTTGCTAGGAGTCTGAACCTAACAACAACAACATAGATGAGTTTGTATAGAAGGCATAGGATGTGAGATATAAATGCCCTTTTCAGAAACTGTTTTCCAGAGCCCCATGATATTGCAGACTGAGCTTTATCTTTTTTTCCTGCACTTATTTTCAAATTCTCATTTCTAATTAAGAGTTAAGCCCAGGAGATATCTGGTAAAGGCACAGTGTGACTGATCTGATTTTTCCTAGCTGCATTTCTGATCATAGGGGTGCTATAAATAATAGAAGAAAACCTCACACATGAAAACACCAAGTCCATCCTACATGACCTCCCTCTGTTTCTCCTTTCTACCTCAGGATTTTCCTTATCATTCTCATTCTATTCATTTTTTTTCACAACCTCGGAATAAGAAAACCTTGTCTCTTCCAAGGCCAGCCCAGATTCCTGTTTCCTTAATCCTGTTCTCTTCATGAGTCCTTCCCCTCCCCCAAGGAGCCCTAGTAGCATAGTAGATTTTGAGCTGGACTGCTAACCACAAGGTCAGTAGTTTGAATCTACCAGTCACTTCTGGGGGGTGGGGGTGGGGGGGAACTTTCTGCTCCAGTAAAGATTTACAACCTCAGAAACCTTAGGCTGGGTTGCTGTGAGTTGGAACCAGCTAGGTCACCCACAACCACCACCATCACCATCTCCAACCCCTCCCTCAATTGTATTTTCAATCCCTCTTCCTCTATTTGATCCTTCCCCTTTGTCTATGAAACAGACTCAAGTTTCCCTTACTTTTGCCATTATCAGGCATCCTATAAAGTTACTGTCCTTTTCCTGCTCTGCCCTGCCCTACTAAGGTCCTTTTGTTAAAGTGCCATCAAGTGAGTTAGTTCCAACTCATAGAGACCCTGTTTAAAATTTCTGAGGAGTGACTGGTGGGTTTAAATCTCCAACCTTGCAATTTATACTGACCTTCTGGTTCAGTGCTTTATCCTACAGCTCTATACCAGGACTTAGTTTCCCCTTCACTTCCACTTTTGCAAATGGGCTTCTCACCTTCACTATTTTACTGAAACAGCTTTTTCCCTAAATGACCTCCTGGGTAACAAATCCAAGACCTTTTTGAGCTCTTGTTGGTCTGAATTTTTCTGAGACACTTGATATTGTTAATCATCCCACATCTCTCCTGCTTACTTTTCTTTCTCCTCATCCCTAAATTAGGTGCTTTCCACTTGTGCATTCTTGGGTCTCTCTTCCTTTACAAGTAATGTTCTCAAACTGGCCCGTACTTAAGAATGACCTGACAAGTTTTTAAAACTTTCAATACCAGGCCACTCCAAACTAAGTAAATCAGGATCTCTGGGATAGGACCCAGACATCAATATATTTAAAAAAATATTGTTATAGCTGAAAGTTTATACAGTATATTAAGTTCACTTTTTCCTTTTTTTATTGTGAACTGAGTGAAGGTTTACAGAGCAGATCATCAGTTTTACATTCAGTAAATCATGTATTTTGCGTCATTACAAATATTGCAATCCCTTCCATGTACCATCAGTAATAGTATTTACCTTTGTTCATTTTACCTGTTGCATTTCTTGGAGTCCTGGTTTGGCATTGTAGGATAAGCACTGGATCTTAAGGTCAATTTGAGCTGCAAGATCGTTGCTTCAAACTCACTAGCCGCTCTTCAGAAATCCTATACTGGGTCACTATGAGTCGGAACAGACTTGACAGCATTTAACAACAACAACAACAACAACTCTAATCCATGAATAATTTCCCTCCTCTACCCTGTAACCATCACAGAATATTTCTTTTATCAAGAAAACCTTTTCTTAGCTTTTTTTTTTATATTTTAAATGTTTTATTGTGAATTATGTGATAGTTTACATGGGAGAACATTACTTTTACATTCATCCTTTCGTATATCGTTTCATTGCCATAGTTACAATTCCCTCCATGCATTATCTACCAACCAAAGGGTAAACCCTGCAAGCCTACCCCCTCTGCGTCCACACACAGCCCATCTCTCTCTCCAGGTCTTAAATCCCCAGCCGCTCCATCTCTCCATGTCATCATCTCTGCCTCCATCTCTGGTGTCACTACTTCTCTGGGTAGGGTCCTGCACTCTGCTCTTCTCCCTTGA